AACACTTGTCAGTCTATTTAAAAATAAGGTAAAGAGTGTGAAAAACATTAAAAGAGTCAACGTAAATAAAGTTGCGGTATTGTTTGAACAACCAGTAAATGCCAATGTGTTTTTAAAAAATCGCGATTTTCACTTTAAAAATGACTTAAAAGCTTATATATCAGCTAGGGCTATAGAAACAATTGGAGTTGTCAGATTTGTTCCCACAAGTATTTCTAATGAAGAATTATTTAATAAACTCTCATCTTCCCATGAAATCATTGGTGTAAGGCGTTTTATGAAAAGAGTGAAAGGCGAAACAAAACCACTAGGTACAATTGGCATTACCTTTTTAACCGTTACATTACCTTAATGTGTATACCTAGATATATATAGGTTTACAGTCAGTGAATACAAAGCACCTCTTATGCAGTGCTTCAAATGTTTTAAGTATAATCATAGAGCTAAGATTCTCAAACAAACACAAAAATGCTCCATTTGTTCTATGGAACGTCACTATTCTGAATGCCCTGAAAATTCACTAATTAAGTGTATTAATTGTGGAGAACCACATGTTTCAGTATCTCGGGATTGTAGATTTTAAAAAGAAAAAAATTGCAAAAAGAGATGCAAGGCTGTCTAGAATATCGTACTCACAAATTGTTAATACGCCTGAACTCATGAATTCAACAGAATTCCCTAGTTTACCTTTAACAAAACTTACAAAGGCACCAACACCGAAACCGAAACAACAAACAATAGCACAACTGAAAACATAATATGTAGAAATGACAAACCAAAAGTACAAGAAATGAAATCAAAATTGACTAATTTAGAATTAATTGATCAAATTATTGAAAATCACTGTCTTAAAAGGTTTAGTAGGAGCAGTGGTGTCCATTGGCAATGATAGTCGAAGGATAACATCATCTTTAATTAAAGAAATATTAATCAAAACTAAAAATTGATAAAAAATTTATTACGATTTCACAATATAATGTACAGAGTATAAATAATAAAAAACCCTTATTGTTAACTTATCTTCTAGAAAATTATATAGATATATGTTTATTGAATGAAACTTGGCTAAAGGATGGAAATAGATTTAGGATTCCCAAGTACAATAAGATAAATCAGAATGCTGGGGAGGAGTTACTATATTATTAAAAAAATGTACATAACTACTACCGAATAGTACATATAAATTTTCATAAATTCTTACAATCCATGGCAATTGTTTTAAAAACAGACTTTGGTGAATTATCGATTCTCTGTGCTTACAGCCCTCCTCGAGGGGGTAGATTTAAGTGTAGGAGACTGAAACAAATAATTGATGTTTTACAAATGCCAATGTTACTGGCAGATGATTTAAATGCTCATCATGTAGCATTTGGAAGTCGTTCCACTAACTCAAGAGGCAATGACGTAAAATAATTTATTACATGAATGTAACTTATGTATTTTTACTACAGGAGCTTAGATTACTGTAGGTAATATATCCCGTAACCAGTCAGCTATAGACATTACTTGCCCCACTATTTGTGACATTTACCTAAATGCAGAAAAATATGAAATCAATAATTCCTCTAACCATTATTTGTACAATAAAGCAGATTGGACTTTGTTCAATTCTGAAACAAAAAAAGCTTTTAAGGAATTTTAACTATTAACACTTCACTTATTAACAATTTATACAGGTTGACTGGTGAATTACTATCGATATTTGAGGACGTGATATTTGACGATCATATATGACAAAATAAAAATTAATATAACAGAAATATTAATAAACTTCTAAGTAAAGTTAACCAAAAGTTATGTAATTAATTACGCATCGTGTGAACACCCTACAGATTAGGTATACACACACACACACACTCGCGCGCGGCGGCGTGTTGTTGTATCAGCACGCCGCGGCACGCGTCCACACTTGGAACGTGTACACACTTTATTTATTTATACGGAAATTTGGTCAAAAATTAAGTACCCATTTTTTTACGTAATTCGAATGAGAATCATGTACCGAGTATGCTCCTTAAATATTGATAGTAATTCACCAGTCACCCTGTATATTATTAAAGACAAATGTATACTAAAAGCCACTCATATAGCCCAATACACCATTAAAAAACAAGTTACATGGTGGGACAATGAATGCGCAGATGCTGTAAAGATAAGTAAAGATGCACTTAATTGTTACAGACTTATGCCTAGTATAGGAAATTTTATAAGATATACAAGGTTGCCTGGAAGAGATCGCTGTTTTAGCGATAAGGCCCCCTATTTGTACATTTTTCTTTTCTTTGTTTTTCTCCAATTATTTTTGTCTATATTGGTGTGCAATAAAGAGTATATAAAGGTTGGATGCTATTAAGAAAAAACTACTTAGGCAAAAGAAAAAGAATAGTTGGAAAAGTTTGTGTGAGATATTTAATCACAATACACCTGGTTTGTGTCATTTGGAATTAGGGGATTTAAAAGCATACCATACACATTTTTCGACAAATATGCTCCATTAACACCACCTGAAAGACCTATTGCAGTAACAAACTGAAATATATTTTTTAGTAATGTTGGAAATCCTAAAGCTTCCTTTTTATGCAATTCTTTCTCTATGCATGAATTTAGTTTGGCTATCAAGTCTAGAAGGGATAGAACCCCTGGACTTGTTGACATACCATATAAATTAATAAAGGGAGATATGCACACTGATGCTCAAAATGTTTTAATAATTTTTTTTAACTTGCTCTGGGAAACACAAAAGATACCAATTACATGGAAAACTCAGTGTGTAGTTTCAATACTTAAGCCTAACAAGCCAGAAAACATTTTTGATTCTTATTACATCTTTATCTTCTTGAATAGGCAAAATATTTGAATTTATGCTTAAAACTAGGTTAGACTTTTATTAGAAAGAAACAAGATTTTACCTCCTGAGCAGTTTGGGTTTTGTACTTCTGAAAATTTTATAACTCTTATCAGAGACATCAAGAATAGTTTCTATAACCACTCAGCAACAGTATGTGCCTTTCTTGATGCCCAAGGCGCTTTTGATTATGTCAGTCCTGCTGTCCTTGCGCATATCCTCCGTGAGATTGGAGTCCCGGGGAAAGACTGTAAATAGATATTTAACTTTTTACATGAAAAAACTATGTACATAAAATATAATAACAATCATCATGGACCTAGAACTATATACAAAGGAACAATGCATGAAGATACTATCTCTCCTCTATGTTAGGGTATGTCTATCGGGTTCGCTCCTGGCCCGAGCAAGTACCAATGTGATTTTTCCGAGTCATATGTACTTTCTAGGAGTATTTAGACATCACTGATTAATGCTGATTCCCAAAAGAGGGTTGATGTCAGGCAGGTGGCCGGTCGTAAAAACAAATAGCCAAAACTATTCACAACATGTAAGGCAGACCCTGGCTATAGCTGGGAAATTGCCAGGTAGAAGAAGACTGGAACACATAATGAGATCTAAGATTTTCGCGAGTACTCATTTAAAAAAAAAAAAAACGCAAAGTAAAATCCGAAACATATTAGTTTCATTTAGACTGTGGAAAATTTGTTATACCTAAGTAATACAAAGTGATTTAAAAAACTGCGACAAACAAAAAAAAATTGACACTATTTTCCTTCATAACTTCATAGACGGCGTAACCGTAAGTAGCTCTCAAATTGATTTGACATTAGGCTTGGACAAAAAATAACTATATATCAAATTATCGATATTTTTTCAGAAAAATATCGATACAAATCAGCGATATTTTTTCCCGCGATATATCAACTTTCGATATTTATTTTTAGGTATCAAAATCGATACATTTTTTAAAGATCTGCTGTCTGCTCATGCGTCACATCATGTCTTTGACCAATCTGATTTCTTAGTTGATTTTTTCTTGTCTTTATGTACTTATTTTTTAATAATAAAACTGATGTCAAAACAGCCAGATGTGTATTTACTTTAAAATTTCGAATATTTTGACAATTTTTATAGATAATTGCTTATTGCGCAGAAAATAATGATATATCAACATATCGATATTTTTTAGTCAATTATTATCGATATATTTTAAAAATATCGATACGATATATATCGATATTTTTTCTCCATTTGCCCATCCCTATTTGACATTAAGACAAATTTTAAATTATTTCAGTTGTTTACTGTTGTTCTTCTAATATATTATCTATGGTTCTTGTCCTGTACGTCATTTCTAATATAGTGTATTATCTATGATTAGGGTTGCCATCTCGAAAATTTGGAAAACAGGACAAGACGCGTGAAAACCCCGGATTTTAGAGTTCGAAAGCCGGACATATCAACAAGATCTTTTAAACATATTCAATGTAATAGAAAACAGTTAAATCACCTTTTTTATTCATTCATTATTTTAACAAAGCAGAATCATATTACAATTTGTTACACATTGTTTATATAAATCAGCTTTTTAAATTCTTGAAATAAGAAAACAAAACCTTAGGAAAATATTAAACAAAAACATATATTTAATGAATTAAAATCTGAAAAGTACCTACTTACTTAGACCATTCTAGTATTCAGTCTTACAATTTTCGAGGTAACTTTTTTATAGTTCTATAATTATTATCTGCTTTACTTTTTATCAGCAGTCATTTATATAACAAAATATACAAATTTTAGCAGAAAAGAAACTAAATTCAGTCTTCTTAAATATTTAACAATAAAACAGAACATTTTTAAAGTTTAGACCTACAGCAATGTAAGTTACATTATTAAAATTTTAGAACAAAATAATTAATCCTATACTCATTTTCATAAACTTAAAGTTTTAAGACGTGGCAACCGTGACGGGAGGTATGGGGGAACGGTGAATATACTTGGTTCGTCCAACCCTATCTATGATTGAAAATAACCGTTGCAGTTGCTTGATTTGTGACGATCTATTACCACGCACAAATTTTAATACATTTCTTGTAGTGTAGTACTATAATAATACTTATTCATATTTATTCTTAATAATAAATATAGAAAAATGAGTGATAATATCAAAGTAGTTGTAAAAGTCCGGCCACTTATTAAACGTGAAATAGACCAGAAGCTTTTTTACCAGTGGCGTATTAACAATAACACATTGTATCAAATAGACCGAAGGGGAAAAGATGTAGGTCCAAGTTTTACATTCGGTAAGTAAAACTTAGTTTCGGGTTATCGTTAAAGCGATTTTTTTTTTGACTTATTTTTGGTGATTGTTGTTATTATATACTTACAAAAAAAACGTGAATTACCACTTGTGTACACAATTGGGTAATTGTGTACAGCTAATCAATTGAAAGTAGATTCCTAACCTACTAACCTATATTTGTTTTCTTTGACCCATAATTAAAAATTATAGTTTGAGCATAAAAAAAATCCAATTTATGTGGGTATATTCACAAAATGTTACAGTGAGGATATCAACTTCGCGATATATATTCGTTTATCGAGGGAAATTCGCTGATAAGTACCTACATTATTTTTTCTGTTTACTCAACCAAAATTTCAGATATACTTGTGTTTCATGTGGTTAACATTCTTATTCGTAAAATCAATAAAAAAAGACTATTTTTCATCAAGTACCTATTTATAAAGAAATCCTACTTGAAATATAACTGTAGGGGACTACAGGTATTTGAATAAATGTTGTCAAGAAACAAACCAAAAATCTCGACCGTCATTGTACAATTTAGATAATGCTGTTTTCGATTACCCACTACTGTAATAAAAGTTATTACATACATTGTAAACCTGTCGATATATATGTATGTACTTATTTATACATTTGTTTGAATATATTTCTAAGTTAGTTACAATTAAAATGTCATAAAGAATACACGTTGAGTTTAAAAAATCCCGTTTAAGTACAATCAACCTTAAGTCTAATCATTTTGGTCCATAATCGAGCGGATCGTAATACCGGCTGACGAGCGACCGTAGCCCGCGAGAACAAAAGACTTTACCTGAGCTCATTAGCTAACGATCGAGACAAGATATTCATTAGTCAATTTTAATTTTTCATATTGAGATTTTTAGAATAAGTGCAAATATTAATAAGTGAGTAGTGTTCTTCTATAAATTTTTACACAAAAAATTTTTGAGTGAGTGTTATGCTACGCGCTGGCAACGTGAAACGGAAATTTTTGAATATCTACGAGTGTATATTAGTCTGGATTAAGACGATAACTATAACATTAAAATGGAGCGCATTTTTTTATACAAAACGAGCTATTAAACAATTTGAAGAAAGCTGAGAAAAAATCCTAAAAATCACCTAAGGATAGACTTAAACGTTCTTATATAGAAACGAGATTGGAAATATTGGAAAAGTTGTTTAGTGACTTTAAGAATGAACACAAGGCGATAATTTCGAGTGCCTCTGTTGACAAGAAAGAATCATACTTCACCGACGGTATATTCCGTTAGACTTAAGCGGAGCTTTGCATTTGTGTGAGTGAAAGTAAAAGTAGAGTTGGACAAAAAACTTTTAGAATTAAATTTTATTACATTATAAATAGATACATAACATAAGGTCTATAAAATAAGCAAAACTTATAAAAAGCCGGATATTAAATTATAGGAAATATTATGAAAATTATGCAAAAAAATTATTGATTAATAAAAATTTTGAAAAAACTACAAATTCTTCGTCACTTGACATTGCGTTTTCAATATTTGATTTTGCTATCCGCACAAAAGGTGAAGTGAGGAAGGTGCGGGGCGGAGTAAAAGCAGAATAAACCGGTTAAAAATTAGAAAAGAACGTGGCATTCAAAAATTTGACATCACACCTACACTATCCGTGTGCACTCACACAAATGCAAAGCTCAGCTTAAATCAAACGCACTATAAATACGAGTTGTTTGAAGAGTTACACGTACCTACAATATAAAACTAATCTATACGATAAGCTTTATATAAGTGTTCGACGCCGCGTGCAGATACACCTATCTCGTGTTGTATCAGCACGCCGCCGCACGCGTCCACACTTTGAACACTTGGAACGTGTACACACTTTATTTATTTATACGGAAATTTGGTCAAAAATTAAGTACCTATTTTTTTTACATAATTCGAATGAGAATCATGTACCGAGTATGCTCCTTAAATATTGATAGTAATTCACCAGTCACCCTGTATATCGACAAGTTTACAATCTTATTTATAAAGTCCATTGAATTTGTTTGATTATATTTCTAAGCTAGTTACAATTACAGAGTCATAGTGAATACACGTTGAGTTCAAAAAAATTCCGATTAAGTAAAATCAACCTTAAGTCTAAACAGTCATCTTATCAATACAAGTTTTGGCTTAAGGTGGCGTAGAATACTATCCGAAAAAGCTTCCAAAATCATTGCTATGTATTGTTTATCACGCAAGAGTTCGTTGGCAATGCAAAAAGTGTTAAAAACATTATGTGTTGAATACCAATGTTTTGAAAATTTTCTCCTATAATAAGCCGTTGTACCCAATTGTGTATACCTACCCTTTTTCTGAAAAGATTAATTTTCTTGTTAATTTTTTAAATATTTTTTTATGTTCATTTGATTCATAGGCAACATGAAAATAAATGTTTTCTAAAAATAATATTGCTATTTTAATTTTAGCAGTTAATGGGTTAAGTTTGTTCGTTTTAGCACTTGACTCAAACTTTTTTAACTTTGCTATTGTTTACACATACAGCTTTAAAGTGAAAGTAATTCTATTCTCATCGATTGTTCGCCTTTACAAATATTTTTCAACATTTGTATAATACTTGAAATTCGATATTCTATTTTTAATTTAAACCTACAAAACTTTCAGATAAAGTGTATGACACTACGACTAAAACCGAAGATGTGTACAATGATGTTGTCAAAAATATTGTTGAGGCCGCAACAAGAGGTTTCAACGGAACAATATTTGCATATGGTCAGACGTCCTCTGGCAAAACTTACACTATGAGAGGCACCAATAAGGTCCCAGGAATAATACCTCTTGCAGTATTAAATCTATTTGACACTATTAAAAACATACCTGACAGAGATTTTGTGGTTAGGTAAATAAATGAAACATTACTAACATGAATTACACTGATAAAAAAATATATTTTAACATTCAAAATGTATACAATAAGTTTTGAAAATATTTTGTACCCTGTTCCTGAAACATTAAATTTAGCATATTTTAATGAATTTGTACAAAGCTTATAAACTTAAAGTTACAATTTAATTGTGTATAATAATTATAATTATTTTGTTTGAAATTTATAATATTTTCAGGGTGTCTTATATTGAAATATATAATGAATCGTTGATAGATCTCTTGAATTTAAGGAATACAGTCAGAATAAAAAAAACTCATAGCGGTGTAAAATTATTTACTACTGAAAAAGTCACGGTTACACCAGAAGAAGTGCTGGAATTAATGAAAAAGGTGAACTATTTACATCTGGAACATTTCATAATATATATTGTTTTCCTTTAATTAGTAAACATAGAAAAGAAATTTATTAAATATTATAGCATAATCTGAACACCCACTTGAATGGTATTTCCCTTTATGGAAAACAAAATGTGTTATACAGGTCATAATGACATACTTTTATATGAATATGCAATTTATGTCTGTTTTCTTGTGACCTTCAAAGTGCAATCTGATTAACATTGCTTTATAACTAAAACTATATATTTCTAGGGTAACGTGAACAGACATACCGGTTCTACACATATGAATAAGAAGAGTAGCAGATCACATTCGATCTTTCAAATTGTAAGTTAATTAAGTATAGTCCGTTAGACTTATTTTATTTTTAATCTGGAATAGATCTAGCATTTATGTTATGTATCTTTTTAAATATAATAAAATTGAATTCTAAAAGTTTTTTGTCTAACTCTACTTTTACTTTCACTCAACAAATGCAAAGCTCAGCTTAAATCAAACGCACTATAGTAATTTATATTTTATGTAATCAAACTAACATATCAATCCTTAATATAATCTTTGTCACTATTTTGATATAATTATAAATTCAAAAGTTTATTATAGTATAGTCTTTTAAACAAAAAGTAATTTATAGGTTTTGATACAACTTTCTAGTGATGTTGATTAGAATTAAAATAGGACATAATATGTTATACTTATAAATTGGGTTAATTGTTTACCATATATGTGTTTTAATGCACTTTATAAATTTTGGACAAAACAGGCATTATCTCAACTCTATATACTCTTAATAATAAATATATTTCAATCTTACACATTAACATCGTCTATATATTCATTTCAGACAATAGAATCCCGGGTACACATTGAAGGTGCAGAGGAAGTTGATGTGGTGAATGTTTCTCTATTAAATTTTGTTGATTTAGCGGGCTTGGAGAGATCAGGAGAAACTGGTGCCACCGGCCTCCAGTTTAAAGAAGGGACACACATCAATAAATCACTCTCAGTACTTGGTCTAGTCTTCAAACAACTGTCTGAAGATCAAAACAAGTATGTATTAAAGATTGAAATTGAATATTTCATAGCTATCTCTAAATTAAGGATTAAAAAAAATTGTCGGAGTATAGCCCTGTACGGTGCTCCCGTTTGGGCTGATCGCACAATGAGCCGCGGGACCAAAGCCATACTGCGCTCTGCGTAAAGGTCTCCTGTGGTGAAGGTGATTAGGTGGTATCGTACGGTATCCTGGGCCGCAGCGACTGCCCTTGCCGGCGTTTCGCCTTGCTATCTCGTGGCGTCTCCTATGTCTCGGGTAGAAGGGCACTCGCCGAGAACCCTTCGTCGGAGGAGATCCGAGCGGTTCGTCGGCAGGGGGAGGAGCGCCTTATGCGGCAGTGGGGGTAGTAAGTCGGGTCTTTGCCAGGACCGGCCAGTCGCTGGTGTGACCTGTCGCTGACAGATCCGGGGTACACCAACATAGCGGCCGATGGCTTTCGCAGTGGTTTTAGTGAGTAGGGACCTGCCCAGGTCGAGTTTCACACATCTTTTCCGGCCCCACCAAGGGCGGTTGGACGGCTTGTAAAAAGAGTTTCCCTGCGACATAAAAAAAAAGGATTAAAAAAATTGTGATCTTTAACTGCTCATGTTTATATAAAAAATATACAAATTTGATGTTGCATATATATATATTGGATGTAATTATAAAATAATTAAATTAACATCAGCACTTTCTTAAGGAATATCACGACAGTTTTACTCACCTCTAACTGTCAATAGTACAAATTGATATAACCAAATTCATTTAATATAACCAAATTACTATAAACCTTAGCTATTTTATATCAATTCTAAAGCTTATCTTGTAAGAAATTATCTTAGCAAAGAGTCCTTTATAATAATGATAAAATATGACACAATTTAATATCATTCATTCAAATGATATCTTTACTAAGAGATTATATTTTTATTATATATCAATCAAAGAAATTTATCAGTTCCAATTGGAAATAAATTTGTTTTTTTTTTTAATGGGAAAAGGGGGCAACCGAGCAGACGGCCTACTTGATGGTAGGTAGTTACCGTCGCCCATTGACATCTGCAACGTAGATTTGCAGATGTGTTGCCGCCCTTGATTAGGGAAAAGGGGGAGTAAAAGGTGGAATTAAGGGAGGGAAAGGAAAGGGCAAGAAAGGGTGGGAAAAGGGAAAGGGCAACCGGCTCTCTCACTCACCGGACGAAACGCAGCCATTAAAGACTTCACGCCGATCTTCTGTGAGAGGGTGGTACTTCCCCGGTCGAGTCAGCCCATGTTCGAGCTGTAGTAACTTGACCACAGCTAGGCTCTACCACTTATTTGTGTCAGATGTGGCATAAATATCTTAGATTCAGATTTCATATACATTTTCTAATTGCTTATATACATTTAGCATATTATGTATTTAATATAATTTCCAGACATGTCAACTACCGCGATAGTAAATTGACTCGTATCTTACAAAATTCTCTGGGAGGTAATTCGAAGACGAGTATAATTTGTGCTGTCACACCAGCGGCTGTTAAGGAAACTATATCGACATTACAGTGAGTAGCATCTAAGTTATATATGTATATATCGTCGGGGATAGTGCAAATCCGCGTAACTACATTGGAAAATAAATTAAACACAAAATAATCACTGATTGTAAAAAAATGCTGTCCAATGCTAATTACGCGCATTTGCACTATCCTCGACGATATATATTGAATTATTAATATATCTTGTAAGAAATAGTTTGAACAGCACTTCTACTTAGATGTTAACTGCACCACAACTTGTAACCGAATCCCCAGTCTAACACTTGTATCCTATTTGTAATATTCAAAAGTAACATTTAGGTGCGGGTAGGTTATATTATTGGGCGCTAGTTCCCCTCAAAAGAGTTTCCATTAAATAGTAAAACACTTAACATTGTGAAAAAAAATGCAAGGGCTCTAATTAATTATAAATTATAATACCATTTGTTAAGTATTTGGGCATTTAAATTACTGTACAGAAATATTATTAACATTAGTTTACACTATTAACCCGAATATACAAATGGTGCTAGTTGACTATCATAAGAATTCCCAATAAATATTAGGATATAAATAACGTGAAGCTTAAAATTGTGAAGTAGATCACAATTTAAATAATTATTACTAACAATATATATAACATACTAATAATGTTTTCTAGGTTTGCAAATCGCGCAAAAACCATCAAGAACACTCCAGCCGAAAACCTTGTGGCCACGAGCTCTACCATGATACAATCACTTACTCAAGAAGTATCATCGCTTAAAACAGAACTCGAGATCAAAAAACGTCTGGAGTTAAACTTACATGTATGTACTTGTTTTTGCCCGCGACTTTGTCTGCGTTAGTTCAGAATTAGAAATGCGTTTCTGACTGAGTGAACTCTATTCCTCCTTAAAGACTTCTCCTCGGTATCGTAACCAAAGTGAGAAAATTTGTCGCTCACTTAACAGTAACTTAAGAATAAAGTGCCACACAAAATATCAACAAAAAAAGATCACACTACTTGGAATGTCACTATCACAAAGGATCACAAAGTAAAGAAAGTTCTCCTGCACGTAGTGGTAATCGTCACTCACAAAGATAGAAGGATGCACTCATAGAATATCGTAACTATGATCGTAACACAATATCGTCAATCGTAATACTTTTTACTTTGTTCAGATTTTTTTATTTATTTTTTTGGAGTTTACCTTTAAGCCATAAATCTCTGTGTTCTGAAATGCGACAGAATGATTGACATATTACTTAGTTGTCAAATCTAATGTCAAAAAAAACTTTTGTATGGGAAATAGAAAAGAACTGGTTTTAAGGTTTTCCCGGAAATTATTCAATTTTTTCCAGCTTTTAAACCTTCCCTGAACCTCCACGAATATTTCAATACTAAGATAAGATAAATCCGTTCAGCCATTCTCGAGTTTTAGTGAGATTAACGAACACCAATTCATTTTTATATATGTAATTCAGAAACGATGTAATAATTAATCTCATCGGTTATCTAAGGCGTGTGTTATGTATATGTAATAATGGATTGTTGTTGTTATAAGTTTTTATTATTAGTGTTTAAGACTTTTGTTCTAGTTTTTAATATTATAAAAATTTTCGTATAATTCTAATAAAAAGAATCTCGAGACGCTCGACAGAAGTGAGAACTTAAACTATTTAATACAGAAATTTTGTATTTCATAACAATTGTAGGTTATTATTTAAATTTTATATACATTAAGTTGATGATCTGTTTATGAATAACTTGAAAATGAGTTTAATACGTGAGGGAATTTGAAACCAGATATAGTTACGAAGCGGTTTACGCTTCCATAAGTTATCACTTCAAAAAAATCAATAATTATTTAAAATATATTAATATTTTGCTATATTTCTTCACAGAAAGACAACTGCAATCTACAGGAAAAGCTCGCAAATCTTCAGAGGTTGATCTTGGATAGTTTCGATCAGAATCGTAATCCTGATATGATTAGCAACGCTCGTAGAAAATTACATCAACCACGACGAGCGACCATATCAACTTTACATACCATACAAGAAGAATAATTAGCCTTTATTAGTTTCAATGACTTAATTCTATCATATAAGTATTTCAAATTATAAAAAGCTTAACTTATTACTAATATATAAAAAAAGGAAAGAAAACATCGTGAGGAAACCTGGACTTATAGTTTCACAATTATAAGTTTGAAATCACAAACCCGTCTTGAGCAAGCGTGGTGATTAGTGCTCAAACCTTCTCCATGTGAGAAAGAGGCCTTGCTCAGCAGTGGGCTTCTGATAAGCTGATGATGATGATGATATAAAAAAAGTTTGAAAAAGTAGATGTAGCAACTTTTATTACAAAAAATAAATAAACTTTTTGGAAACAAATATACATACTGGCAGCGTAATTTCAGATGACGTATAATTATTAAAAAGAAAACAATATTTCATACAATTACATAAACTTCACTGGTGACACCGACGTGCGTTCCAGATTTAAACAAAATTTTGAAGACCGAATCCAACCATGACGGAGGAAAAGGACTACATGACGTACTGCGTAGCACTCAGAAGCCCACCATTCAACGCCGAGGATCCGCAGTTATGGTTCGCGCAGCTTGAGGGACAGTTTGTTGTGTCAAATATAACCACGGACAGCACTAAATATTACTACGTATTGGCTCAGCTGGAACCCAAACACTCAGCAGAGGTGCGCGACTTCATTATTAATCCTCGCACCATTGACAGGTATGAAAAATGAAAGACGGAACTGATCAAGCGGTTGTCCGTGTCCCAGGAGCGAAAGATCAAACAGTTGCTCATACACGAGGAGTTGGGGAGATAGGAAGCCCACACAGTTTCTTCGGCACCTGCAGCAGCGAGCTGGCCCATCAGTCCCGGTCGATTTCATCAGGTCGATCTGGCCAAGCAGGTTACCTGAAAATCTGCAAACCATTGTAGCTATGCAAGCTAGTTCGAGCTTAGAAGAGATAGCGGAGTTAGTGGATAAAGTCAACGACATCGGTCCAGTAACCAGGCAAGTTGCTTCTAATAGTGTTAAATTTACTATTAAATCATGGCCCCTCTCGGGTATAGGCCTCCTCCAACTGTTTCCATTGTACTCCAACGGTCCGTTGGCCTGCCTCTAGCTTTCCTTCCTGTTGGACCCTTCCATACTGTGACGAGTCTCGTCCACCTCTCACCTCTAGCTCGCATCATGTGGCCAGCCCATCTCCATCTGGTTTTGCGTCTTATAACACTGCTTCTTTGTTTATCTTTGAGCTTTAGGCCTAGGATGCTTCTCTCCATAGGCTGGCATGTACGTATTATTACTGTCGTATATTTATTGTAAATCCAGGTCTGTGCTCCATATGTCAGGCATGGTAGTATAGATGAGTCCATGACTTTTTTCTTAAGATGTAATGGAAGTTTTGATTTTAATATTTCTTTCAGACTCCAGAATTTTTCCAAGACATATTAATTCTTCTGTGTAGTTCATCTTTATGCCGTGTGTTTTTAAATGAAATGAGCTTTCCTAGATATATGCGGCTGTCGACATAATATTCGATTGGTGTTTGGTTTACTATAATAGGCGTTTGTATACTGTTTGTGACTTGTACTTTAGTCTTAGAGGGGTTTAGTTGTAGACCAATGGTATTGCTAGAGTCACTCAAATCTGTGAGCATTTCTTCAAGTGGTTTTGATGACTTCGAGAAAAGAACTATATCGTTGGCAAATCTTAAGTTGCTGAGAAACTTGCCGTTTATATTTATTCCTTTTCTTTTCGACTGTAAACCTTTCATTATATTTTGTAGGACAGCAATTAACAGTTTACCTGAGAGTGGATCTCCTTGTTTCACACCTCTGCGTATATAGATTGTTGGTCCTAGTCTATCGAGCTTCACACCACTTTGCGGAACGCTTTTTAGTAATGAATTGTTCAGGGTTATTCTAAATGGTCCGTAATAGGCACTTCACTAGATCATGAAATATTTTGTTGTTGGGGTCTTGTTCACTATTTTTTCAAGACACTTCACTTTAGATTGTTCGTTTGTTATTTCCACAGATTGTTTCACAGATCATTTATCCCTAAAATACACTTTTTCCTCTCCCTTGTCCCCTTCGACGATTTATTTAACGTCATTATGTTGACCATTACCCGCGTTTTCTCTAGTTTTATTTTGATCGCTCCTATATTTGACTAACATTTGTCTCACACTGTGCACAGTGCATGGCGATATTTGTTTACTAATTATAGGTAAGAAGAATTTCTTTGGTGCTTTAGTCGATGTTTTTGTATCAAAGGTGGTAGCCAATTGTTCTTTAAAAGTGTAGTATGTTGCATGTCTGGCATTTTGTCTCGAACCTACAACATTAATTCGATTTAATAGATCAGGAAAGTCGATAGCGGATATAATTCTATGAAAGAAACACAGGTCCAGCATATCTCTGTGATCTACAGCTATCAATTCTTTATATCCTCGCTGGATGCAGATGTCTGTTGTGGATGTCATTTTGTAGTGTATATCATTTTGCTGAAACATATTATTAACATCATTAATTTCATGAATTAATATTCTAGAATAAATTTGATTTTTTTCCCTAAAAACTTAAAAATACATACAAGATGGCAACACTGTACTGATGTAATGTTAAAATTGTATATGAATTCCCGAACTCGAGTGTGGGCACGGTAGCTTATTTTATATTAATTTTGAAATTTAAATTTATTTCGACAACTACATTAAGAAGGTTGGAAGTTAGAATCAGTTAAGGAAGTTAAAAGAAGTTAGAAGTTAATGGTTTTTTTTTATAGGTAAAAGGCTTTTTGTACCCGAATATAAAAGACACAGTGATGAGTTCGTGTCAGGATCTAACACAGCCAAACCCCCATTAATTCCACCAATCACTAGACCTCAAGCATGCGACAGCACTGAACTCAATTCCCATCCTACAAATTCGATTTTTATTGGCATTGGATCTGTAAGATACATAATAAAGGAATATCCGATGAAAAATATTGTTTTTAATTGTAATCACTTAAAATATTATGTAAATTGATTAAGCTTTCACACAAAATATAACAGGCCAACAAATAAAAACAATTTAGCTTTTATCAATAAGGATTTAATGGGCTTATAGTCTGTCAAATTAATTACGTATAGTATGTGCAAATGAATTGAAAAGTTAAGGAACATGTATACTGGTATAATTCAATTCACCTTTGTCAATAGCATTGGTATTATAAACGACAAGTTTTCCTCCACCACAGGCATAAAGTATATCATTCCGTCCCCAAACACAAAGAATACACTCCGCCTTGTAGTACTAGTTGTACGCCTAGTAGTAAGGTTTTGGCCGGATGCTCTGTCTTAGCACTTGTGTCAATCAAACCCACCTTTAATATTATTGTTAACATTATTTACCTTATGTATGTATTATGTATATGTCTACTAATTGTATTATAAAATGTCAAACAGTTTATTGTTAAAATCTATAATATAGTAACTTTATTACATAATACTCTTTGGGTGTAACAGAATGTATGACCAATTGTTCTAAACAATTTAATGTTGTTTATCTACCCACCCCAGTTTCAGCAGTACCAAAGGCAAGTAGATTCTCTTTTGTCGGATGCCATGCAATCGTCAACACCTTGAATATTCTGCCAGTATGATGTCACATGCTACCATCTTCTACGAGTGTATCTGTGTTCCAAACATGTACAGCGCCATCGGCTACACTTACTGCTATCCTGGTTTCATAAAAAGACATGTACATATGCATTGAGTGCATTATTTGTCTATTAATGAAAGTACATAAATGTAATTAGAGATTTATTTGTTTAAGCAATATTTATCTTTCTATCTATGATATCGGTTGGTTAAAACTTTTTATGACCAAATTCATCTGCTTCATGATCTTTGTATATATCAAACATATCATCTTCCTGAGCAATGGTTTCATCAAAGGTGTCTTCTGGAACATTCTTTGATATCCCTGAACCATTTAAATCATCTTCATCATCCTTCAATTTTAATTTATCTAATTTACTTTCTAGATGTATATGATTTTGTGATACCTTGAGGATCTTTTTAAGTATCACCTCATATTGTGGACACCAAGACAAGTTGATTATCTCATCATCCTGACCCCTCACCTTAAACACAATTTTGCCATTCCCTGAAATGGAAGTCCTCATTTTAATTTATAATATACTAAAACATATACAAAAATTAAGTGAAAATTATAATAATTTGGTGATATTTATTGAACTTTTTTCTCTAAAACCATTCACAAGTATTAAAAAAATGTTTCAAAAAAAAGTACATTTATTATATTGTATAACTTACCATTTTTTGTTTTGTTCCGATAGCAACATATTTTAATAGTATGTGCTGAGAACATGCAACACATGTCGGCTTTAAGCTTTTTAAAAATTGATTATAAGTCTTAACAACATTGGATTTCAAATCCCATTTTACAACATTACTATAGCCTCTCACTGTGATTACAAAGTCATCTGTACTATAATCTAGACTATATCCTAGAATTAATATAAAAATATGATCTGTACATTACTAGGTAACTTAAGAAGTAAGTTCTATAAATAGCTGAAGTAATTTCAATTTTCTTTTCAATGAATAATTTAAGATGAATTGACTATTAAAATTAAAATACCATTATCATTATAATGAATTTCATAACTAAGGGTAGCTTTAACTCATATAGTTTTAAAATTTTCTAAGTTCCACTACTTTACAGAACCATCAGCACTCCCAGTCAAAACTAATTTCTTTTCTGGCCATTCCTTTGAAATGTCCACACTTGTGATCCTTTAAAAGTATGTTAATCTAAGATTTTTGCGAGTTTTTTAATTTAAATGAAATTAATATTTTCAGAGGTACTAACACACATCTCATCTGCCTGTGATCATGGTTGCTGAAAAGTAGCCGAAATGTGGGGAGCATGCAAGTTTTTTTTATTAAAAATAATTTCGTGTAGTTCGGTTCCAAGATACAAAAGCTTTTAATGGGCCCGCCATAAATAAGCCATCTATCATGAGAAATCGCTATCACAGATACTTGGAACCAATTTGGCGGCGGAAATATTACAGTTTCATCCATATTAAACAATTATATTTGGATAGTTTAAAAAAATAACAATAAGTTCTTTACTTTCAGAAAAAGGTGTAACTGTAGGGACCGGCAGATTTGATATTAGCTTATGAGAGCTGGGAGCACTATTCAAATATCTGGTTAAATGTAAACATTAACTCCTGTCACTTGATTTGTCAAAGTGACTTTTGAAATTGATAAGTATCGTTGTTAGTTATCATCGACAAAACTAATGGACATGCCTTAGAGATGAGAATTGTGACACTCCGAAAGAAAAAGAGGAAACTAAGTTTCGGTCTATCTTTATTTCTCTCAAAATAGTACCATACTTAAAACGTTATGAGCCCCTTCTGGATAATTTATTATTTCCTAATGTCATATACAGTTTTAAGTTTAACTTCTCTTTCTCTGATTTTTAGCATTTTTAGTATTAACTAGCTTTCCGCCCGCAGCTTCGCCGCGTGGAGTTCGGTTATATCGCGTTTCCAAGAGAACCTTTCAAAAGTCTGGGATAAAAACTATCCTATGTTCTTTCTCAAGGTCAACTCTATCTCTGTACCGAATTTCATTAAAATCAGTTCAGTGGTTTAGGCGTGAAAGCGTAGCAGACAGACAGACAGACAGACAGACAGACAGAGTTACTTTCGCATTTATAATATTAGTAGGGATGACATTTGAATTATACGGTCAAATTAATTATTTTAATCATTAAATTTGTGCTTGTCATGAAAACTGAGCTCCAATCATCTATGAGGAAAGAGATAGTGCTAGACCAAAAGCATAGGCCATCTCGCTCACTCTTTCAAACAAAAAAAATACTGCAGATTATACGCGTACGGCATGTCCATTAGTATACGTCGATGTTAGTTACAACATAGATAATACACTATATTAGAAAACGTAGAATTTTGAGAAATGTTTTCACCTATACATCTTGACATCAATGTTTTATTTATTTTTAGGATATAAAATTAAATTTTTTAAAATTACATATTTTTAAAATTACAACTAAACAATTTCATCGTTTTTTTCACCTAAATCTTCCATTAACAAAAATCAAAATGGAAAGAATGTGACAGATACCCTTCAAATGATATCAAATAACATTCTTTAAAATGGCTGACAAACGACGCGTCGCATGACAAGAGCCGTTTACAATTAAACTTTTATAATAAGTATTAATATCTTTGTCATTTATATTCCATTCAACTAGCTGAATATAATGTATAGTATGGATTTATAGCTTTAATATTCATTCTTTCTGTACTTTCATCAAAATATACCGTATACTCTTACGACTACTATGGAAGATATCCAGAATGTTTTAATTACAAATTCAGAAGGTGTCTTAAATAAGGATTATATTTCAGGCTTTATACAGGTAAAAAAAGGAATAAACATTCATTCATGTTCAATGGCTAAAATGTAGTTTATTAGGTTTATAAGAATTTTAACAAAACTTATATAAGACAATGCAATTAATCTCTATTATAGATAACTAAACAATTAATCTCTAAGTTCGTAGTTTTGTTAATAAAACTTACTTTTATTTTAGAAACCTGAACAAGACGGATCGGCTGTTTTTATTTGTCGCATTTGCAAGAAGACATTTTATAATGCTAACGCACTTCAAAATCATAAGAATTTGCAACATGACGATATTGGTTCTCTTTCTGATGATGATAATATTTCTTATTCAGTCAAAACCAATGACCAGGTACTTTGTACAGTTTATAATATGTAATTATTTGGTATATAGATAGGTTGGAGTATTTAATTATTTAGTTTAATTGTTTTTTATACAATAAGAAATACCTAGTTCCATAAAATTGTATTTTTTTTTCAACTATAGATTTATGAAGATCTCTGTGGTTTTAAATTCATTCCTCTAAAGAAAAACGAAGATTTGATTACAGAGGAGGATGGCATTTTAAAACGCACGTTTAGTTGTGATACCAGCTACCTCATTGTGAAATATGAAAGTAATGAAAGTGTAGGTGTAAAGAGATCTCGTTTGGATAACATGATTCGAAAAATTCAGTCGAAGCCAGAAAAGAAACCAGTCGATCTGAGGTGCAAAACTTTATCATAAAATAATGATGATTAAATATTATAAATTAATTAATTTATATTTATTGTTTAGGGGACCATTTACGTGCACACTGCCCTCGACTTTGCGACCCAGTGTACAATGTCGCCAGATTTTTTTTAACTGTTGCGAATATTCGTTACATTATCGAGAAGAACATACCAAACGACGGAAAGCAGCTTTACGCTGTCAAGTTTGCGAGAAACGTTTGGACAGGGATTTTTTACCAACAACAACTCTAACTGAGCAATTAAACACCCAAAACACTTCGTCTTTCTCGTGTCGTATATGTGGATTTACATTTTTAGATAGTACAGATTTCGATGAACATAATCGCATAGTGCACGCGAAAATGAAACCACACCAGTGTAGTTTGTGCTCCAAACGATTCACACAACTTGGTGGTCTGCAACAGCACATGCGTATGCATACAGGAATACGTCCCTTCGTATGCAAATTTTGTTCAAAAGCATTTACGCAAAAGGCTGGTTTGGATCAACATTTACGAACTCACACTAAGGTAAAACCATTTAAGTGTATCATTTGTTGCAAATGCTTTTCGCAGTCGGTTCATTTACGTCAACACATGCGAACACATACAAATATCCAGCCTTTTGGATGTCCTATATGCAATAGGAGATTTAAACAGAGTAGCCATTTAAACTTTCATATGCGTTCTCATGTTGGAGAAGCGAGTGCTTTGATTATGGAACAATATGCTCAAGCTATGCAGCAACAAGGTCAAATGGACTTTCTCAATTTTTCAAAAGTGCTGCCAGTTCAGGACGGTGAAACCATTTACTATTCTGCTGAATTAGCTTCGATGCCTCCGGAAGCCGGTGCAGCTAATAGTAAATATTTTCTTTCCAATAAAGGCATTTAATTTTGAAATGTTGATTAAGATAAATGTGTAAGGTTTTGGTCAAACCTGATAAGTTTGTTTGATGTAAATGAGTATTCCTATTGAAATTTCTCAATAAAGCATTTGTTTGATTTATTTATTGTTTTAATAAAACAATGTCAAAAGTTTTCATAAAAGTTTCGAAACTTTAGAAACATAACTTTCAAATGTACAGGTTCAGTACTAGGAGTTCATAGGTTTGTAGTTGTACCAGTGCATTTTATCGATTAGGTTATAGGGGTGGGTTAAAGAGGTGGAGTTTCGGTTTTCGCATAATTACATATAAGTACTAGATTTAGGTATTCCACGCAAGCGCTTTGTATCTTAAAGTCAGCTGCATTGAACATACGTTCTAGTACTAGCATACCATAAATTAAGAGGAGTTATCTGCTGTAAATTGTCTCAGAATGCATCCATAAAATTAAACTGCAAAATTCACTTTTCTGCTAAAGAATTATCGGCATTCTTCAAGTTTTTTTTGCTATATGGACCTTTAACCTGCTACTACATATTTTCATTCCTTCACATATAAAATAAATGTCTTTTTTTCAATTTATGTTTTATATGTTTGACTTTATAGTTTTATTTAATGAAGGATTAAAAGAAGTACCAATGCCACTTTTGTAACTTAATACGATAAATAATATGAGGATAATACAATTATATAAAACTCATTTTGTGTTCTTTTCCTGGAGGTCTGGAATTTGGGACATTCAAATGGGGGCAATGTGCTTAACAGCTACTTAAATCTTGTTTAACTTATGTACTTCAAAACAATATAAATATGTATTGTATAACACAGGGAATTAAGATAGTATGTAGACGTGGGGAAGTAGGGGGTTTTGATACACTTTACTTCAGGGACGTTGGCAACGCAAGCGCTCTTGATTCTATATGAAGTTGGTAACGATGCGGTGCATCAAATGCGCGGTTCAGGTACTAGCACAACATAACTGATGATGTATCGGTTCACATTTTGACAAATCTGAACTTATCGTCGCGGTGAACCCAAAACTACGAATGTAGAAATCATGTCACTAGTAGATTCACATATATTACACGCCATATTCATTATTTTATATGCGTATAACTTTATTGATAATGCGTAGAATGAAGTAGTTACGAGTAAAACACGTTATAAGAAGTTGTAAGAGGCGATTTTTTAAAGATATTAGAATAAGAAAATTGGCTGTAATTTTATATGTGTATGTATATTATTGTAAGATGTAAATTACTTTTAGACGACGACGAGAAGTATCAACGGAAATGTGTACAGAAACATTAATAGGGCCTCTTTAAATACTCTTGGAAGAACAGAAACGATTAGGTGTGAGTGTTTTTATATGGATGGACTTAACGTGTCGCCTCATAACTATTGATACCAAGTAACCAGGAACGCATAATTCGCTACAAATATTTTTGTATTTCACTGTTAACTCTCTGTCTGTGTGAAAGGCGGAGCTTTCAGGTAACATCCCAGGATTGAGGTTACAACGCAAGCGCTTTAGATGCAAGTTATGTCAAAACAAATAAGCCGGTGCAACGTATGTTGCTCTATCTACTAGAGCCACATAAGTTATGAAGAATTCTAGTCATATGGTAGAGTAAAATTGCATTCATATTATTATGAGAAACTTATTTATCTTTTATTTCGCCAAAATAGTTAAGTACAGCGACAATGCACGTATTCTTTTTTAATAACGTAATAACTTACAATATTCAATATGGAGTTTTGCTAACCTTTTAAAATATTATGTCTAAATTCTTCTGATATGTATTTATACTTATTTAAAAGTGTGTTCGCATCAAAAGTATATCTTCCATTAAGTGTTACTCGGAGGGTTGTTAATATATTGCGAAAAGAAATAAAAATATCAACTCCCATGAGGTATATAAATTTATTTTAAAGTATTTCGAATTTATCTAAAAATATAAAATCCATGTATAACAATTACATAATACATATTTGTTTAAATTTTTTTCCATTGTTCTTAAATCATGTTACAAAATGAATTAATCTTATAAATGGTAGCAATGAGCAAGCGTATCAGCCAGTGCATTTCGATATCAGGCAAACATCACCCAGTAGGAGTTAGTGTCATTGATAGTGCACTTCAAGGTTTTCTCTCTTGTTTTCACCCGAAGAGTTTCTGGTGTTTCCTGCTCACACATTCACTGCATTTGACATTGCGCTGTGGAATATTGTCTGTCACTTTCTTACCTGGATGCATTGCTAGTAAATTAAGGGTAATCTTTGCGCTTTATGTGTATTGAATTTGAAAGAAAAATATAATTTGAGTAAAACACAATGGTTGAAATTCGAAAGAGTTACTTCGCATACCAAATATTTATATTAATCACATGCGTTTAAATTTCAATCTATAAGTCGTAAAGATTTTTGGGAAACCTGACGGATCATAAGCATTATTGTTTGTTACTTTATTGAAACTTTTCACAATTATTATTCAAGTTCTATAGCTTCTATGGCAGTTTATATTATTTCATGAGATCACAACGTTTTGCTTATGACAATAAATATATTTTTAACAATAAGGAAGTATTATTCATCACATGTATTGTACGATGGAAAGATTCAAAAACAATACAATGTTTTTGTACTTCTTTTGTATGATTGATGAATTAAATAATGTGGCGTATCCTACCACATCATACCAATAAAACAGTTTTAAGTATGTAGCTATTATCGAAGATCATTGTCATCAAACCACTAAATAAAAATATAAATCCTTCCTCATATTAAAATAAACTTTTTCAAAACTATTGTTAAGTGTGAATTGTTAACTTGTAATTAAAAAAAAATGTATTCTTCCCGATGGAAACAATGTAATGTCTTATTATGTTCCATTAATAGCTTCAACTTGTACCGAGCTAAAAGAAATGACTAATGAGTACATAGTCAAAACAGTGAAAACGTGTGGGTGCAGCGGTTACATTTTAGTCGATTGTATATTTTGTTAGAGCCACGTATGGCGACGTAGTAAAAACAAAGGGAATGTTGATGGTTATATTCTGAAGAATAAATATCTTCTTTGTCTTATACTGACCTTTGAAATATCTATGTATAAAAGGAAAATATTTTTATATACTGATCCATATAAAATGAATATAAAATTTAACAATTAATAGAACAGTCTAAAATTTGTGACAGTTTGCTGTTTTTCCATTTCTATTGAACTAATCTACATAGGTGTGATTTTTTTTTCACTAATCGTAAACCTATGCTTTTGACGAAATTTGCGCCAGTTAGATTATTATAAGCGCGATGTGTCAAAAGAACCGCTATTATGGCAAATTACGAAAAATATTAAATAATATATAGGAGAATCTGAAAACACAGTACTTAACTACTACATTAGTCATAAGGAAGTTTCTCTGTGATAGAATAGTTCTCAAATTAATCGATATGTAACCAGACTAAGTACATTTAAAAGACTCTGTTTCCTATTACAAAGTTATTCAATCCTTATAAAGTACCAAGGCACCCAGTAACTTATTATCCCTATAAACTCTTTTATTACTTTAAATTCATTAAAAAATATATATTTAATTTTAGTCCTTACCTTGGAAATTTTATTTTGTTAGGGAGTAACCTAAAACTTTGATTTTATTGAAATATAATATCTCTATTTTTTGCGCACTTTGGCCGTCCCATTGGTAGATCTGAGATCATTGATTCCTCTACTAAAAAAGAAAAAACATTCGGACGAGTATTAATAAATTTTTTGAAGGTAGGTACTCTGGACTGCCCCATTGGAGTTTAATTTTTTCCCATGTAAAAGCTATCCGAATTTCGGAAGAAACGGTAATCTAGAAAAAGTCCGGGGTTTACGGTAGATTGTCTTCGACATTCCAATTAAAGTTTTTCTAATTTGGTTACTGTCTGTTGTGCAGTGTGTGCTCTAGCAGTGTCTTGAAGCACTAGTAGCCTAGGGTAATAAACCAATCTTAGTTAGTTAGGAGCTAGCTTTTCTATCATGGTTTGCAGTCCTCAACAATACACATCGTCCGTGATCTTGAAGTCAGATTTAAGAAAGTTGAAGTGAACAACCCCGGCACTAATACAACTAATACTCACAAGTAACCTTTTTTGAGTCCATTTTTGCCTGGGTAGAATTTGGCTGAATTGCCAGGGTTCAGCCATTGTGATGAGCATATTTAATTATCTCATAAGATCTACTTTTCATCACAGGTAACAATTATATTTAAAATCTCTTCATTACGAAGCCGGTTGCCTAAAGTAACGCAGCAATCTACACGCGATTATCGATTTTTTGCGACACTAGTTTAAGTTAAGATTTTCATTTGTTAAATTGCGTGGTGCAAAGGAAAACCCAAAATGGGAATAAGATATAGATTACGGTTTTCTAAAACAAAAACATGACTAAATTGTTATATAAATTGGAATTCCTATCCAAAGATATTTGAGATCATAGTGGCCAAAACAACAAAATATGACTTTTATAAAGTAGTTTTCATTTTTAATATTTTAATTAATTGTTCTGCTAGAGTTAAAAATGGTGTTACCTATACGACTTGTTATAATATATTCAATGTTTGAAAGTTACATTTTACACTTTCGATATATGTACATATACATATATATTAAAAAAAACTTAATTCATAGTCAGCAATTATAAATACTTTTGTATTTAATTTTTGCTATTTAAAATTAGAAAATAAAATAAGTTTAATTCAAAGATTTTTGTTAAAATAATAATGGGAAGGTAAGTATAAGATATATTACTTTAAATAATATCAGCTTAAAGACTATGTTAAAAACGATTGATTGTGTCAGAGATACTGGTTTGTTTCGACGCAGTTCGCACCCGATCCGTAGTTATCTCACCAGACGTGTTGTAAAACATGAGCATTTTTTCTTCACCGTAAGTTTTTTAACCTCGGTTAGAGCACATGTGGCGGTCGTGATTTACTTGTGTTTACATCCGCTGTCCGAGGGTTAA